CATTTTAAAATTTTGGCCTCATTTCAAAAGAGTCAGTTGTTCGAATAGCTTGCATTTGAACTACGTTTGACCTGATTCCCATGACGAGATACGTAGGCAACTCTACATGAGTTCGGTCACGTTTTTGTAATTTCATTGCATTATTTTTCTCAATAATTATAGCCAAGTGTTGATTTTTTATTTTAGCTCAGGTGCAGTTAAAAGAAACAGGTAAGCAATTTGGTGTCTACGTCTTTGTCTTGAGTTTCTTTGAAACTCTAGACAAAGATGGGCAAGTTGTAGACACCAATTTTTTGTCAATTTTTAATGTTTTATTGGATTTTATCTATTGGATAAGTTATTTATTTTTTTATTTTTTTTTATTTTTTTTTACATTTTAATGTGTAATTTTCTCATTTTTACAAGTTTATTTTAGAAAAAAAAAAACAACAACAACAAAGCAAAATAAAAAAAATAAAAAAAAATGAGAACAAGACTCCACCTTTTTGGCTCAATTTCCTCTCTCGGCTCTCTCCCTCAGCAGACAAGGGGGACAAAAAAAAAACACAATCCCTCATTTCACTCTCTCGGAGGGGGGCTCAAAAAGACAAGAATAAACAGCACTTTGGGGTTCAAAATATGTACTCTTTCGGCTCTGCCAACACTCAACATTTTGCAGAGGGAAAAAAGACACAAAAAAAAAAGAGGCTCTCGGCTCTCTCTGGGCTGGACCGAAAAGAAGAAGGAAAAAAAAAAAAGAGAAAAACTCCTCTCTCCCTCTCGGCTCTCCTATCTCCCAAATTTTTTCCAACACATAACTTGAAACATCAAAAGAGAGGCAGCAACCAGTTGGATAATTGGAGCTTTGCATCAGGAACTTCAATCAAGGAATTGGCATCTACATTGAGGTAATTTTTTTTTTTTTGTTTAGCACATTAAATCCATCCTTCATTGTCTAGTTTTCTTTCGCTTTTGCTGGTTTCCTTGGTTGTTGGGTTGCTGAAATTTGGGAATGGCATAACTAGATTAGGGAGCAAGGAAATACGGTTGGTGTATGCATTACTTGTGTTTGATAAAATGCCAAAATAAAAAAAATGAATTTTAGGGACTGTGTTGCCTCAATGTAGTCTCTTGTTGTTGTGTTCTTGTTAACTAAGATCATAGTTGTATTGTAGAGGTTGTAAGGAGTATTGTAGTATAAATTTTGTGATTTTTAGTGGTGATTATAGTGCTTTTAAAAATGAAAAACTGGGCACTTTTTTTTTGCATTTTGACCACTTTTTGGTCATCTTTTGTAAAAACTAACTCCGGAAACGGAGTCTGCACGAAAAATCGAGTGAGGGGGTGTATTTTGAGAATTTTTGGTGACCAGAGAGGTCACCGGCGGTGGCGGTCGGCGGCGCCACCGGCAGACGCCATGGCCACCAGCTGAAGTTTTCTTCAGCTGGCCGAACAAGAAGAAGAGGAAACGGAAGGGGTGAAGGAGAAAGAAAAGAAAGGAAAGAAGAGAAAGGAAAGAAAAGAAAGAAAAGGAAAGTGGGTTGAGCTAAGTTAATTTTTTTTTTAGTGGGCTTGTTTCTTATTTTTGGTTGGGCTAGAAGGTCGGAGCCCATGCTTTTTTTGGTTGGGTTTGAGGGATAAAAAGACGGGCTGGCATGCTCGTTTCTTTTGGGTTTCGGTTGGGCTTAGGTAGTATCCGGCCCAAATAAAAAAAATAACGGCCCGATGGCCTTTCTTCTCCCAAATCAGAAACCGAATTTTTCACTTTGGCCCCTGATCTTTGGAGTAGTTTTACTACGGCCCATAACATTTTAGATTCTTTTCAACTCGGTCCTTATAGTAATTGCACTTTGGTCCCTGAATTTTATCTTTTATTTAATTTTGACCTCTAAACTTTGGAAAAATATAATTTTTGTCCCCAAAAGTTTTTTTCAATTTCTGCAATTCAGTCCCTAGTGAATTTTGACTCTCTTTATTATGATTGCTTCTTTTTTAATAGCTAATTATGTTACTTTTGAGTATGTTTAACTTGTATTTTTTAAATATTCTTAAATTTATTTACGTTTGACATGTTAGTGTGAATTTAGTACTTTTATTATTATTATTTTTTCAATTAAATTGGTGTCATGATTCTTTTGTTCATTGTGAGTATAAAAAGGATAATTTGACTCCACTTAGTCACCACTTCAAACGGGAGGTACTCCTATTTTATTATTTCAATGTCAATTACGTGCTCTTATGTGCTCCTATGTGTTCCTATGTGTTTATATATTTTTATATGATTTATTTATTTGATTTAAATATTCATTCAAATTTTCTTATATATGTTTTAGTTAATTTTTATAATGATTCGAGAGGCATTTAAATACCTCAAAAATGTAATAGATAGGATGATTAGATTTGTTTTATTATATTTTTCCCTTCTAGATTGTAGTTAGGCGCTCCCCGATGTAATAGATAGGTTGCGTGTTTATGTGGCTTATGTGTTATGTGTTTTATCCGCTTTCCTTAGGATTTTCGCATCTAGATATTATGTTTACGTGTTATGTGCTACGTGCTCTTATGTGTTTATTTGTTTTAATTTATACTTTATTTGTTTCACTATGAATTGTTAATGCATGACGTCACCACACTAGTCCAACGCTAGTTGTGGCTTCTCCCTCCGCTTACTTACTAGTCCAACGCTAGTAAGGATTTTTAGAAATGGGCTAGTCCAACGCTAGACCCTTTAGGTCGTCTTGCGCTAGATTCATTTTTTGTGTGCTATTCACTACATTTTCATGCATATTTTTATTTTTAGGATTTCTCTCATTTGCATGATATTCCCTATTATATTATCCCCTACCCGCTATAGGTGCTAATCATATCATTTAAAATTGCATCTCATTTAAGCTAGTTCATTTGCTTGTTCATGTTAGGATAATTATTTTTCAAACATGGGAAATGGGTGATTATAACTTTCTAGTTTAAATACCCTATTAATCCATGTATAAGAAAATTATGTCACGAGTTTTTTCGCCTCCCGTACCCTTTATGTTGCATTTCCTTTTTCTTTGATCACTTATATATATGTATATAATTTAATTTCTTTTCTTTTACTTTATTTTCTTTTTTCGTCATTTGCATACTCGTGACACCTTCAAGGATTCATTTTGGCCTTCGCAATAAATGTGATTGGTTCAATTAAACCATTGGATGAACATTTTGTTCCTTTTGATATTTTATTTTTGCATTCATGTAGAAAAAATTCAAATATGATAAAATTAAGGGTTAGATTAGGAAAATTTTCGGCTAAACCTCGCAACTAGCTTAGACTAGGTTGAAAGGGTGCCTTAGGTTTGAGTTAATCGAACCTTTGCCTTCCCTTTCTTCAACCGTGACTCCCGAATCCATTTTCTCTTGTTTTTCAAAGACCTGGAGTTGTCGAAAAGGGTTTTATTTTATTTTATTTAAATACACTTTTTGGGTGACTTGGTACACCCAAACTCGATACCAAGTGGCGACTCCTAATTTTTCTTCAAAACCCTTTTTGACTAAATTTTGAACCCAAATCGTCGCATTTTTCAAAGTCCCATTTTAGGTCCTTTTTCATTTATTATTAATAAATCACATTCTTTTATAAAACCTTTGATTTTCCATCGTGAAAAATGGGGCGCGACAGGAACAATGTTGTTCTGACAATATAGCGGTATAAAACTATGCCTACTGGGTTGACTCAACCCGGTAGGCAAGAGAATTCTTTTTTTTTTTTTTTTTTTTTTTAGTTTTGGCTGCCGGGCTGACTTGGCCGGCTGCTACTGGAAATTTGTTAAGAAAACCCGATAGCCTGTAGCTAAATTTTTTTAAATTAAAAACTTATAAGCCCGGTAGCCTTTGTGGTTAATTTTTTTTTAAAGTCCAAACGTAAGAAAAAGGTCCAAATAAATTAGCTAAATCAATTATTTTTATTTTATGTTAAACCCTAAAAAAAGTTTTTAGATAAAAAAAATCTCATTCAATTTACAAGAAGATGCATTTCCTAAATCTTTGAAAAATAATCATTGAAATTATTATGTATAAGATTTGGTTTTATAATTTTTTATAAAATATATAGAAAATTGATATTTACCTAAATAAAATATACAAATAAATTATTATTTGGCAGTGGGTTGTTATAAGAATAAAGGTAAAAATAAATACGATAGTGGGTAGTTAAGTATAAAAGTAATTTTTAATGTAAACTATAATTTTATAAATATAAAATTGTGCAATATAAAAATGAAAAAACAAACAATAGAAAAGAAGAACAATTTGATAATGTGAAATGGTGAAATTTAAAAATAATGATACTCGTTCAAATAATAGAAGTTTAAAATAATATTAAATAGCATATTGAAATGTGAAAACTCAAAGATCTCATGTTAAGAATTCATGCACAATAAATGCACACGCAAATTATAGATTAGACACAAAATTTTATCAACATTTTATTTTATCCAAACACATATTGAAATCCTTGAGTTAGATCGTTCAAACCAATTAAGAGTCTGGCTAGTAGATCTTCATGGTACAAAATGATAGACTTTGTTACTTTTACTATAAAAAAATGTGACAAATAAATAATTTGATAATTGACACAACAAAGATACATCAAATAAGCTGATCCTCATATGACAAGATCAGCCAAAGCAAAACTTGCATTATTCCATCCGCAAAAAAAAAGAAAAAAAAAAAGGAAAAGAGCAAGTGAACTCCGTTGACCGAAAAGAGATTCCCTGCAGCTTTTTTGGGCTAATGGTGCAGGTGAACCCCAACTATGACCAGCAAAAGTTTTTAATTAAAAAAAGAAATTTAAGCTGGCTGCCGGGCTATCAGCCAACAGCCTGCAGCTTTTGTCCAAAATTTCCAGTAGCTGCCGGGCTGACTTCAGCCTTACAGCCAAACTTAAAAAAAAAAAAAAAAAAAAAAAAAATCTCTTGCCTATCGGGCTTAGTCAGCCCAGTAGGCATAGTTTTGTACCGCTGCATTGTCAGAGCAACATTGTTCTGACTTTTTTTTCAACAATAATATGAGCAATTAGCCATATAGAAAAGAGAATTTAATAAAATTTAGTCAGGTCAAATAAAATGCAACTTTAAAATTTTCTAAATTACCTAAACCTAAAAAATAATTTTCCAAAATTGCATGCTGCTCCGCCACTGCATTCTCTTTGCTGCAGTGGACCAAAGGTTACCTGAATTTCTGTCTTTTCCATTTATGCCCGTTTATTTGCAAGGTATGTAGGGAGGGGATAGATGGGCTTTCTCTGATAATCCAATCGGTGGATGATCCAGCATAAAACAAAAGGTTTTATAGAGGTTTCACTGTATACTATTGACGAGGTATTTGTGTATATCTAATCTTCATTTTGAACACTGAAATTTGATTCCTTGTTTGCTAATATCGCTTTTTGCTTTTGTTACAATTATCTTCTGCTGAATATGAATTTCACTGATGTAGTTGATTAAGAGTACTTATATTTTGTTTTTTTGTTATTCTTGTAGCTTCTTGGTTGTAAGATTGAAGATTTTTGTCTACTAATTACTGTGCATGTTAGCTGTTTGTTTTGAATATTACGCATACTTTCGCTTGATTGTTCTTAGGTTCTAGCCGGTAGGTATATTGGTGCAAGCCCCAGGAAATTTTAAGCATTTGGGCATCTTTCCCAGTAAGCGTTAGTTGATTATTTGACACTTGGCAGCCTTCGCTTGCGCATAAGCGTAGGAGGCAGCCTCTTCCTTCACAAGTGCTTGGTATACGCCCACTCCTTGCCTTCTTCCTCCTCTACCATCTCATGTTCTTGGTGGTTAAAATCTTTTGCCACTCTTCAATACTGCTCGATCCCTTTCTCTTCCTGGCTACCATCTTTTGTGAGTTTGGGGTTTGGAAAAGTACATCTTTTTCAGTATAATATCGAAGTTTGTCTACGAAGACAGTTTTGCCAGAGATATGAATTGCCTATGGAATTATGCAGCTTTAAGAAAATATGCCTAAAAATGACCATCTAAACACATGCTGAAGGTTTACCTGTGTGTGATTAAATGAATCTTTAATCCCATGTACCTGTATGTAATTGATTGAATGTTTAATCCCATGATTTGTGTTCTGACCAATTTATTTGCTAAAGTATTTTGGTATGATCTACGCAGGGTTTGAAAAATCTCCAAGTGCATGTGCTTCAGCTGCCTTTGGTGATTCAGTGATTCTTACTTGACCATCAAAATTGGTAATTAAATTTGCCAATTTGTGTAATTTAATGCGCTATGTTTCTGAAATCTGAATTTTTTTTTCATGCTAAAGCTTATTTGGTTTTCAGTTTCGAAACTGATATTATCAACCTATGGCTTCATACTTCACATGCATATAACTATCATCTGGATTTTGGATTATCTTAGACATGTCATGTAGAGTTATCTTAGGCATGAAACTTCCATCAATTGATAATTTCTTTCTTATGGTGAAAAGTTATGTTGATAGTTGTGCAGTATTTTGTGTTAAGAATTGAGATGTCGAGAGGACAATACTCTTCAAGTTGGCACCATTTTGGATGAAATATGATTTTAGCTGTATAATATATGATATCATCAGATATTTATCCCAAACACAAGTTCTAAGGATATGACGTTTTAAATGAAAAATTGAAGGATTGATTAACAGCAATGAATGCTAACATAAGATGTTGGACAAAAAACCTCATGGGAACATAGCCCCGGTTTGTTTTTGAATGTTTGTCTAACACTTTTCTAAAACTTTATTCTACCTTACTGTAGAAGTTGAAGAAAAAATTTTTGAAGTGCATAAATTTTTGAATGTTTTAAAGTATATAGCTTAAAAATTTTGAAAAGTTTTTTGAGATTACTGTAGTTCAAGTTGTTAAAAAACCTGTAGCAGACAAACTTGGTCAAAAACTTGTTTGCCAAACAAGGCCATCGTAAATCAAAAACGGTAGCTGTAAGCATTGGAATTGAATCGATGGCCCCGTTTGGCAAATGAGTTTTTTGCATGTTTGTCTAAAACTTTACTGTAACTTACTGTAGAAGTTGTAGAAAAAATTTTTGAAGTGTGTAAATTTTTAAATATTTTTAAGAATATAATTTAAAAACTTTAAAAAGTTTTTTGAAATTACTGTAGTTAAAGTTATTAAAAAACTTGTAACAGACAGACTTGGTCAAAAATTTGCTTGCCAAACAAGGCCCAGTCTTATCCACCAAGTCTTTTTCAATACTTTCTATAGCCAAGAATGAAAGTTAATGAAATTTAATTGGGGGGGGAAGGGGGCGGGGGTGGAATTTGAATCTTGGCTGTCTGGCATCATACAAAATATTGTTAGTTTTGCCACGAATTTTTGCATAATTGTTTTGCTTCAAATAGGCCAAAAAGAATGTGGATCTTTTTCAAATGGTGAGTATCTTGTGCAAATTACAACAGCAAACACGATTGTAGTATATATTACATACTTCTCAAGTGTAATTCAACAGCAAACAATAGCCCATTTGAAAAGAATGACGCAGTAAAGAGCATGCGTAGAAACATTGGAACTGCCGAACCAATGACTTGAACATTTTGTGTCTCAAGTGCCCAAGTTAGAGTTTCTTGTTTTAAAATTGTGGATTTGCATAGTTTTGGTTTGAAATACAGAAGGGCTGTCAGTTGATTGAATCACAATTAAGATGCCTTTTTTCCCCCCTTTTTTGCGAGATAGTTGAACATAAAATTTGTGCAAGTTAACGACTGTATCTTGAATAATCTAATAACCTTTTTTTTGTGACAGAGTGCAATTTGAGGCAGCAGAGAACAAGTGATACTTGTTCAGTACTAGAATTTGATTAGCACTGGAACCTTGAACTTTGAACAGCTGATTCTTGAAGTAACCGATCATGTGCTTGCTAGTTAGTGATTTCGATTTCAAATAGCTCGATGTACTATGGATAAAGAGAGTTTATAATCAATATGTTGCTAATATTACATGTTTTTCTCTTTGATTCTATTAAAAATAGAGCCTGGGCGTGCTCGTCCAAAGGGTGAGGCCCAAAAAACTAGTAAATGCGAAAAAGCAACTTGAACTTTAACAAGCAAAAACAGTTTTAATTCATTACAATCTAGGAAGACCGATTTTGCTCACCTATTCAGATTTCTAGATTTTTTTTTCCCTCCTGAGCGAACCATATTTGATTAATAGCCAAGACTTTATGTCAGATTTCCCCAAGATCTATTCCAAAAAGGTACATTAGCAAAGTTTGCATGAAATCCCTTATTCGATTTTCAAGTTCTACCTTGCCCCTTTCCCCAAAAAAAAATCCCACTTGTTGTGATGTTTGGAGTTTCCGTAGAATCCAGAAAAAAAAAAAAAAAAACTTTCAACTTATTTCAACTTTTTTTTTTTTCTTTTTGAAGCTCAAACCCAGTTAAAATCTGAGCCTATTGCAGATCAAGTCGTTTTCATATAATATATGGATACAACTCAACATTTTTCAGTCTTATAAGGAATTTCAGTGTTATCATAAATAGGACTTTTACGCTTGAAACTGACTCGAAAACTCCTTATTTAAGATGCTGAAGCCCTTCTTGATGTTTTTGAGATTACATCATCCCCCTCTTGAGACAATATTCCTTTTTATTGCACCAATAACATGTCAAAGACAACTCTGGCTTTGTATTGAGCATATGTTTAAATTATCGTTTCCAATGAAGCTATATTTTTACCCTTAATAAGGCAAATGATTAGCATTGGCTGCTATGATTTGCTTTTGCCTTTTTTAGTAGATTGACCTCTTTGCTTGATTCAATTCAAGCCATTTGTATGCAAAAAGGCTTTGCCACATAACCTAATATTCGACATTGCCTAATGGAGTTTGTTGGATATGGTTACACTGGAAAACTGGAAAACAACCTTCATAGATGACAGCATCTGAAACTATAAATGCAGTTGCAAAATTACTCATTTAACTCACTCAATAACATAGTACTCCTCGGTACCTGACATCCTGCAGATTGGTAATAAGTGCCACTATATTCTTCATAGACGCTAACCTCAACCTGCAATGAAGTCACTGAGTTCCTGTCATGAAGCCTAAGCAAAACAAGATGGCAGACATTAACAATTCACGGATATTCTCCCTGAAGTTGAGCAATATAAAAATGCACAGCAGATCCAAGTTAGCTCCTAGGACCAAGTGTTTCAGCAATCCAAGAAGATATGGCATTCCTACTAACATGCTCCATTGAAATAATTCTACCACCAATCCAAGGAACAACTTTAAGAACCCACTCTCCACTTTTCATAACAATAGGAGTCCTTGATACCTCTACACCTTTGTGTCCGCATCTGGTATCTTTTTAGCACTCTGCAAATTTAACAACGAATTCAGAAATCACATCGCAGTAGAAGATATTCACAACTACATTTAAAAATTTATGTTTCAATACCTATCAGGCCAATCAGAATGTAGCAAACATTAATTCCGGCTTCTCATACCAAAATATGAAAAAGTGGCATTAAATATCTCATTAGATACGACAATTCCCAGACAACCTACCTCATCACAGAAAGTAATTAACATGCATAATGACTTGTAATGATTTGCACATGATATGCATAGATCTTGATTACCCATGTCATATAGACATGCAAGTGTGTTACAGCACATACATATCTACTTATTAATTCTCAAATTTGTTTGCATGCTTTTGTTTCTTTCTTTGTTTTTGGCAAAACCATGTAGAACTGCCTGACTGTTGTATTCAAAGGTTAACATGTTTCCCATGTGTATGATCTGGAAATAAGCAAAGAAACTGTTTTTATGGAGAATAACATCAGACAGAATACTATCTGATCTTAAAGGAGGTCCATACAGAATTAAAGGTTGTCATGCCTATTCATCTATGTCTGAAACTGGAAAAAAAAACCTATATCTAAAACTGACGAAAAAAATGTCAATCATTTGATTTCTCGTATTTCCTACAGACCAATTATGAACTTATAATATGGGTGGTGCAAAGCTGTCAGCTTTTGAGGAGACACTTTTTGTGTTTCTTGTACTTCCATCTGAGTTTTTTCCATGGTTGATGATGTTAATCAGGTACACAAGTCAAACTTAGTCAGAGATTCTCATTCTAAAGAAGGTGGTTTTAAAAGGGGAAGAGTTTAGAGGTAGAGGAGACCAAGAGATTGTCTTAATGGTAAAGGTGGCAATTCCGCTCATAGCAGAGGATCATAAAGTTCAAACCCTAAGCTGGACAATCATGCAAACGTCAAATGTCAAAATAGGCTAGCAATTAGTAGAATCATTCAGCAAATTGTTTGGCCATGCTAGCAGCTATCCCTTTGTCACAAGCTTGGAATGATGTATAAGCACCAGCATGTGTGTTAGTGATAAACTAATAGGAATATTATGGTACATTTGGTCATTTTAATCTCCTTTACTTCTTTTATGGAATATAAGATTAAGGTTGTCAAATAGCTCAGTGAATGCATTTATCATAGATGATAAACAAGCAGTCCAAGCCATAAAACTACTCATGACAATATATGAATGAATAAATATAAAGAAGAAAGAATTAGGATATTACCCATGCAATTTTTGTGCTGTTTTTCACTTGCTAATACCATATTTGACACTTCACTTTGTCAAGGCAACATAATTTGGATAGCTTCTCCATCGGTACCCCATACTTCAAGCTGCTTGAACACGCAAATACACAATGAATTTTCTAAAAGTATTCAAGATTGAAGAGATCCTAGCAACATGACATGGCAAATTTGAGTTCAACAGGAAGGATACGCACCAGAGCACATTTACCAAGCAATAACTTCACTTGTAAGCGGCGGTTTGGCCTTTTCCACAAGCCATCGGTTTTGGAAACACGAACTGTGACAACTGATGACCAGAGTTCAGCAACATATGTTGTCGAAAGATATCCACCTTTAGTATACTCATGGCCATCTCCAGCATCCTCAAAGAGGACACCTTCTGCTTTACCTGAAATTTTCAAAGAGTAGGTCTCAGTTCAACGTGGATGCTGCAAATTCCACTTGTCACAGCATCCAATATTACAGACAGTATTATGTTTGATTAATCTAAGAAGATTGAAATGGATGACCAGAAGAAGATATAGCTCCTGAAAGATCGCCACCACAGATAGTGCTTGAGCTATAAAACCTCATTTTTCAGATTCTTTGATTAAAACCTTCAGAAAAGCAAAAATGGGATTCCATTCCTTGTTAAGTAGTTGGCAAATCATCCTTCACCAATCCTTTATGTGCTAGGTCTAGATTGACCAGTCATTTAGTTCAACTTGTAAAGATTCTAGGGTTGTCAAGGTTTCACCACCTTCTGCTTCAATGTCAATTCTCAATTTCAATAGAGGAGCAACAGTTTACTTCCTTCATAGGAGAAATCCACATTACCATCAGATGCAATAAATTTTCATAATTTAATGCCAGTGATACATGCACAAAATACGTGTCTGCAATTTGGAGAAACAATTACAGGAAAGAAAAAGAAATTGAGAAGAAAATGAAAATGAGAGAGAAAATTGGAAGCCATGTGCAAGTTGGCATTAGGAAGTTGTGGAAGTTATACTAGCCATAATGGCATTGGCAAAAAGTATGAATAAGTGTTACACCCGGAGCGATTTTCATCCTTTATTAAGTAGTAATGATGTGCAATATCTTCACTATACATAAAGCAGGGGTAAGGGGCATTTAGTGTTAAATTGTGTGTCATTATTTAGATTTTCACTTTTGTCTCAGTCAATGTTTAGTACTACAAATCTACCAAGCATTAAACATTATCTCATAATAAGTCCCAATGACTTCCATACTTTTTGCTTTTTTTAATCAAAAGTTTCCTTTAGTTTTTGCACACAGGGTGTGCCTTTCTTACTAGTAAAACATGATATTTCTTTCTCAATCGAAAATTTTGGTGGATACAGTAAGAACCTTCAAGGAGAAAAAGAAAATCAGGTCAGAGGATAATTAGACCATAAAATGTTGCCTTATTATCATGAAGACTACAAGTGCATGAGACAATGCAAAGGAACAACCACACAACTAGAAGATGCTGCAGTGTGTCCTTAACGTATGTTCTTCACCAATAAGCTCTCCCATAAGAATAAAAATTGTCAAAAAAAAAATTTTAATGGGAGAAAGATAGAATCTTGCCTGTTTTATAGTGGACACAAATTCAATCAATTTGCACAGTGTTCAGTCCTTGTCTACAAAAATAAATGAACCCAAATATTGCCTCCTCTGCAATTGAGCTAAACTACTTTATTCTGACAAATCTAAGGGACATAGAACTACTTATCTTAACCAAATATTGTGGACTCTAAGAATCTGTAATGGAATCAATAGACAAATAATTACATCTGCCACAGGTAACAGTAAAATAAATCCATCTCCAATTTTTAACATGCAATAATCTCAAAAACCTAGGTTTTGAAGAACCAATTCTCTGCAATTAAAAAGAACTATCATATTGAAGGAATAGAAAAGAAATCTAAGCTGCTTCACAGCTCATTCTAAATAGCTGGATAGTCTGGCAGAATACCCAGGAAGGAGAACAAAATGAGAAACTGCTCTACTTTTCAAAGTTTCCAACTTTACGAAGAATGTGAAACTGAGACATGGACAGCATAAAAAGTCCATGTCAAAGCAACTCTTGTTTGAGGTGGCAAATCAAGAAATTTTGAAATTCAAGTATACCACTATCTATAAGAGCATAATAAAATAGACCAACTAAATAATTAGTTCTTAAGAATTGTATTTGGCAAAATCTTTTTCACACGTTGCAAATTACCATGTTCATCTAAGGCGACAAAAAGGCACAAGTCATCTGTAGGATTAGCTTCGCCAACATGTTGATATGGAAGACCAACAGGGATGATTGATCCACCTTTTAGATACAATGCCGGTAAGTCCTAATAAT